GAGGAGCAGGGGAGACCACACACCTGCCACCCCCCACTCGCCACCCCCAAACCCGAACACAGGGCAGGGCGGGATGGCGAGTAGAGAGGTTACGGGGGGGGGGGCGGGGCCGACGCGCGGCCTCCCTGGGCGCCAAAGTAGGCGGCAGAAGGGGCGACGCTCGCCCCCCTCCCCCAGGTCGCACCTCGACAGGCGACGGGAAAAGGGGGGGGGGGGGGGGGGGGCGGTGCACGTGCCCCCGGTGCGCCGCGGCTGGCGACGAGGCATGGCCGGGGCGGGGCCGGGGCCGCAAGTGGCGGCGACGGGGCCGCTGGCGGCGACGGGGCCGCTGGCGGCGACGACGGGGCCGCTGGCGGCGGTTCGGGGCCGATAGGAGCGGCGACAGGGGCGACGGGCGGGTCCCCGTCGCCCGTCGCAGCGCCTCCCGGGGGCGACGCGCCGAGTGACGGGGCAGAAACCCGTCGCGCGCCTCGGGGCACACGGCGGGCAGAAAACCACCGCGCGCCTCGGGGCGCACGGCGGGCACAAAACCGCCGCGCGCCTCGGGGCGCACGACGGGAAGAAAAACTGCCGCATGCCACAGGGCGTGCGGCACAGAGAGTAGCAGTAGCAGTAGCAGTTGCAGCGGAAGCAACGAGGTGGTGAGCCCACCCACAGGATCGATCCTAGGGGATCGACCTGCTCTGATAGCTTGTGAAAGTTAGAAGAGAGAAGAGTGTTGCACTAGCAAGAATGAGGATACAAATAGCAAACCCTAGAAGGGTTGTACTCGCTATAGAGCACCCCACTACAGGCTAGAGCATAATATTCTGACACTTTCCATCTTCTTTGCCTTCTTCGTTCGAAGTCGTCAGCTTAAGGGCAAGGAATTCCTTGTCGCGGATGATGGAATAGGGGATGTTGGTCCCTGGGATCGTTTCGAGGACTAATATCGGCTCGCACAACTCGGGGGCAGGTCCGTAGATAGTGCGTCGCGGAGTGGATGGTTCGTTGCCCCAATCGATGGTGTCCCAAGGGTCGCGCTCCGGCTGGATATTAGGTGTAGGTAATGCAGGTGCAAAGTGGCGCGGTGGGCGACCAAGAGGGACAATCGCAGAAACTGCTGCTTCTTCTGCTTCTTCTTCTTCCCCCCTTTGGTCCTCGCGAGAAGCTCCCAAGCCTTCACCTGAGGTGCCCCAACCGCTTGTTTCGTCGCCATGTGTGGCGCCCCATCCGCTAGTGTTCTCGCCAGTTGCTGCGCCCCAGCCGCCAGTGTCGCTTGTTCCCCATCCGTTCAGGCCCCGTCGGCCCCGTCACCGGAAGGAGCACATGGATGCAGCTAAGAGGGTGTTGCGCTACTTGTGCAGTACGTCGGGCATGGGGCTAGTGCTTGGAGGGCGAGTCCCAGTTGTTCTCACTGGGCACTCAGACGCTTCTTGGGCAGACGACCAGGCTACTCAGCGGTCGTCTCAGGGTTACTCCTTCAGTCTTGGCTCTGGTTCTGTTTCTTGGCGTTCTACTCGCTCTTCTTCTGTTCTCAGCTCCAGTTGTGAGGCTGAGATCTACGCCACAGCCATGGCGGCCCAGGAGCTACGCTGGCTCACCTACTTGGTGACCGACCTTGGAGAGCAGCCTCGTTCTCCTCCAGTGCTGTACGTCGACAACAAGGCAGCCATTGCCTTGTGTGAGGAGCACAGACTGGAGCACAGAATGAAGCACATTGCTCTGCGTTACTTCCTTGCTCGAGAGCTGCAGCAGCGTGGTCAGCTTCGTCTGCATTACGTGGCCTCTGAGGCCAACACTGCTGATGTGTTCACCAAGGCGCTTCAGCCTTGTGACCATCAGCGCTTTTGCACTCTTCTAGGCCTTGTGCCTACTGGACCTCACTTGCTTACTTCTTGAGTCTGTTTGTACTGTGATCTCTATATATATACCTGCATGTTTACTCTTGTTAGGTTGTGATCATTGTACCTTTTGCTCTATTATAAACCTGCATGTGAACTGGTCTTGTGACCACTTGCTTGTGCTCGGAATTTGTGTGGTATCCTTGAGATCCACCCTGAGCTTGTTTTGCCTTGCTTTGCCTTGACTGGTCTTGTGACCCCTAGTTCTCCCCCACTTTGCCTATGGGGGTGTGTCAAACATTATATATGTTGTGTTAGTTTAGGCTACAGTGGGTTAGCCTATAGGGGGTACACAATTCTAGGGTTAGGTACTTGTACTCATTTCACTGCTAGTTCATTCATTCCTGTTCAATGATTCCAACAGTGACGCGTGCTGAACGGGTTGTTGTTCGAGAACGCTCCGATTGGGTGAGGCGCCAGCTCAGGTGATGGTGAGCGCGTGCGCGGGCGACGTGTCATGCTTCCCATGACATTGTGGACGGGGGCAGTCTGTGACGGCTGCTGCTGTTGCTGAACTGTTGGGTTCAGGTTGCGCGATGGGGGTTGATACCCCTGGGCGGGACGCGTGTCGTTCCGTGCGTCTTGTCGGCCGGACCAGTTGCTCGGATTGGTCTGGCGAGGCCGAGATCAGGACTTGCATCGATCTGCCAACTGCCCTCTGCAAATCTTGCAGTAAAGGCGCCGCGGCCCTCACTCCTTTGTGTTGTCGGCATAGAAGGCGAGGCGTTCTCTGTCTCGTTGCGGCGCTGGTCGCTGCTGGTCCATATCCCTTTTTTCGACGAGAAGGGCGGCGCAAAGGGCGGCCTCCGAGATGACCCCCTGCTGTCGGAGAAGCGCCTTGCAGAGCCGCCACTCTGGGCCGAGCCCTTGGAGCGCAATGGTTACGAATATCTCCTCAGAGATCGTGCTCCCCAGTTTCGCGATTTCATCGCGTAAGCTCCGGCAGCGACTCAAGTAGCTGTTGGCCTTCTCTCCTGGTGCCATTTTGGTCTCCAGTAGCTGCTGGAGCAGGCGGCTCAACGACACCGAGTCGTTTGGTTGATACACACCGTTCAGGTGGCGCCAAGCGTTAAGGGCTGGAGCAGGCGAAGTTTTGTAGGAGCGAATGCTCAATTGCTCCGTCGGCGACATATTTCGCAGAAGAACCCCGTAAGCCATCAGGGACTCGTTGTAGTACTTAGTTCTTGCGTTGTCAGTGTCCTCCGCATGTCCCGAGTAGCTCCCATCGAAGTAGCGAAAAATCTGCGCGTTTTGCAGCAGTAGCTCCAGCTCGAAGCTCCAAGTATAGAAATCTCTACCGTCAAAGCACACACTTGTCTTTATTTTTGATATGCTCAAAAACCTTGATTGCGAAGAAAGAATTGCTTCATCGCTGGGACAGGGAGTCTTGGGTGTTGAGCCATTTGTGTCCAGAGAGAAGGTGTGCGGGGCGGAATTCTGGCCATTCGAGGCCGGTTGAGTGGGTTGGGAGGATGTTCCCGCGTCGCCATTCCGCAATGTTTGGAGCCCTTGCTCCAGACTTGTGAGTCGCTGAAGCAGTTGTGCGAGGACGGCGGAAGTGATCGTCGTTGTTTCCTCGCTTGTCGCAGCCGGGTTGGGCTGCGCTTCAGCCGTCAGATTCGTCTGACCTCCAGATCCTCTGGCCATTCTCACATGCGATCGTGTGCCGGATGCCACTTTTTGAATGTCGCAGATTTCGGAGATGGCAGTGCGAAGGATTCCCGAGTCGCTCTGATACCATGCTGCGATCAGATGTTGATCGAACTCAGGATCACCTCAGGAAGGTTCGCACACTACTGATCTAGTGGTGGTGGGCCCTTGACCTCAATAGCAGAGTGAATGTAAATGCTTGAGATGATTAAAAATGCAAGTACAAGGAATATAAATATGAGTACAGAGGAGTTCGAATCGGCCTAGCTAGCCATGTACTCTAAGGGGTACATTCCCTTATTACAGCGAAATCCAACCGTGCGACTCCAGGTGGTTACGAAACTGTTCGGGTAGAATCCTCGTCACTGCTGCTGCCTGATGCTGTCTGCCCGACGACCCTTCGTGTTACTTCCGCCCGTTTGACTTCAACCTCGGTAGTGGGTGCTTCGCTTGCTATGGTGAGGAGTGAACAGTGATGTTTCAGTAATTACTATTCGTAACATTGAACGCCCCCATTTTGTTTTCTAATTGAATTTGAATGACGGAATGCGGTAGCAAGGATAATTGTTATTAACTTGACTGCCGTAACTTTGTCTTGTCAATACCGTCATCACCCGGATTTAAGACAGTGTTGAATAAAAGACAGGGGGTGTCTATTATCTGGGTGTCTCTTATCAACGGGATAGCCTCATTATAAAACACCTATTTGTGTGTACGAGTCAAGGGTGTGTAGGGGTTAGGGGCAATTGTATAACGAGGGGGTATCTTCTAAACGGTTCTTTGTCCATTTATAAGACTTATAAGACACCCTAAACCGTCCCAAATACAAGACAACCCAAGCATTTTTGGCCGTGTACGAGATAAGACATATATGTCTTACATCCGGGCGATGACGGTACCACTACTCGTTCTCATCAAACGAACCTGTCTCAGTTCCATCAGCTACCGGCTTTCTCCGCCGGTTCAGCTCCAACCCAAGCGCCATGCACGCAATCATGCCAGCAATGGGCAGCGAAACCGCCAGAGCCACAGTAAGCGCACTCATGCCACTCTGCACCGGGGGGGGCGGCGGGATGGGCGGCAGGGGAAGCGGTGGGAGGTCCACGCGGAGAACGTAGGGAGCAAAGGCGGCGGGGAGGGGGCCGGCTATGGAGGCGGCTGCGAGGGCGAGAGTGGCGGCTGGGTCAGAGTTGTTTTTTATCGGCAGGAGGCCTGAGGGGTCGGAGGCGATGGGGAGCTGGTGCACGGAGGTGGAGGACCAGGCTGAGCCGTCCCACCGTGCCACTCCTAGCTCTGTGAGGGACAGACGCAGCGCACAAGTCATGGCATTAGCAGTGCAGAGGAGTAAGAAAAAAACCAGGACCCATGGAGCATTGCATGGGCGAGAAGAAAGCGCATGGAAAAGAAGGCATGGAGCGGAGCAAAGAGAAGGTGACATGCACAGACAGGGATGGTGATGTGACGCACCCATGGCAGGCTGTGGGGAAGAGAGCATGCTGACACACGCCGACACGTTGAGGTCCGAGAGAGATGCGTCCACTGCCCTCACCACCACTGGCGGCCCCACCACTCGACTGCAGGGGCGAGAGAGAGCAGATGAAAGGAGGGGGTGGAACCCCATGAGTCGTGGGAGTTGGCCTTGGTATGGGATGGTCTCACGGAGTAGATTGGCGTTTTGTGTTGTGCAAGGTAGGATACACGATGGCCATGGCACATGAATGGATGCAATCGTTGGAAGACATATGTCTTGCTTCAAGCATCGGACGATTTAGTGCCAGGTGGTCAGACGGGCGTCCGTGGCGTTGAGTGCAGATGAAAGGAGGGTCTGATTCCACTAGTTGTGGAGGTTTTGTTGGTGTAGAGTGGTCTCATGCAGGGTAGCACACACTGCCCCCATGGCACATGAATGAATACAATTCCTGAGAGACAATCTCTCTTGCTTGCTCCATGCAACGGACGACTCGGAAGATGACCTAACAGCAGCAGGTAGAAAAGAAAGACATTTGAAAACAAGGAAAAAGCTCGGTGGGATTTCGACCAGCATGGGATGAACAAACGAGTGGCAGCAACAGCAGCACACGCACCTTGAGAGGCCGAGCGGGTGGTTAGCAGAGAAGGCGTAGAAGGCAGCGATGTAGGCCGTGCCGGTGGGCAGACGGGCGTCCGTGGCGTTCAGTGCGAGCGAGGCAGCTGGCAGCAGTGCTGCGAACTCGCCCTGCTGTGATGGCGATGCCATGCGGCGCACTGCAGTGGGGGAAAGGGGAGGGGGAGGGGGAGGGGGAGGGGAAGGGAAAACAGGGTGAATGGTGGAAGGGATATGGGGTTTGGAAGGCAGGTTGAGAGAAACTCAAGGTGGTGGAAGGGAAGGAGAGGTGGTGCAATGCACTGGACGGCTTCAAGAGGTGAAGAGAAAGCGAGCAGCGAGAGTCCAGAGAGGGTTGGTTCGGGCCCTTGAGTCCAGAGAGGGTTGGTTCGGGCCCTTGAGTCCAGAGAGGGTTGGTTCGGGCCCTTGAGTCCAGAGAGGGTTGGTTCGGGCCCTTGAGTAGGTAAGGAAGACGCAGACAGCTTAACGAGAAGCACCTTTAGCGGCGGAGAGGTTGACATTGGTGGAGGAGGCTTGGAAGACTGCGCCTGGCGTCTGATGGGACAGCACTGCCGCCGCCACCCTGCCTGGCAGCTGGAATAGTGTTGTAGCAGCTGGTTGCGGCGCGGAGGGAGTTTGAGAGGGGGAGGCAGGTTGAGAGGCGGTGACTTGAAGGGCGATGGTGCGTTGAGAGGGGGAAGCAGGTTGAGGGGGGGCGGCGGCTGATGTGGGAGAGGCATTCTGGGTGGCAGGAGCGGCAGCGGTGGTGGCAGGAGCAGCGGAGGAGGTAGAGGCTACGGGTGGGGGGGAGAGTGCGAGGAGGTCGGACGTGAGCGTGACTATGCACTGCGGGGTGGACGGAAGGGGGAGAGGGGGACAGGTGTTGGGGCGCATGGGAAGAGGAGTCAATGCGAGGTGAGGTGAGGAGCAGGGTGAAATGGAGTGGTGAGGGGAGCAGCAGCAGTGGCAGTGAGTGAGGGGTCTCGTGGATAGGATGATGCATGCATGTGAGGGGTCTCGTGGATAGGATGATGCATCCATGTGAGGGGTCTCGTGGATAGGATGATGCATGCATGTGAGGGGTCTCGTGGATAGGATGATGCATGCATGTGAGGGTGTCGTGGATAGGATGATGCATGCATGTGAGGGGACTCGTGGATAGGATGATGCATGCATGTGAGGGGTCTCGTGGATAGGATGATGCATGCATGTGAGGGGTCTCGTGGATAGGATGATGCATGCATGTGAGGGGTCTCGTGGATAGGATGATGCATGCATGTGAGGGGACTCGTGGATAGGATGATGCATGCATGTGAGGGGTCTCGTGGATAGGATGATGCATGCATGTGAGGGGTCTCGTGGATAGGATGATGCATGCATGTGAGGGGTCTCGTGGATAGGATGATGCATGCATGTGAGGGGTCTCGTGGATAGGATGATGCATGCATGTGAGGGGTCTCGTGGATAGGATGATGCATGCATGTGAGGGGTCTCATGGATAGGATGATGCATGCATGTGAGGGTGTCGTGGATAGGATGATGCATGCATAGGCAGCGCAGACGCACAAAGAGAGCAGCGGCAGCGGCACGGGTCAGGATTGGACTTGAGGGCCATGCCATGTGCAATGAGACAAAGGGCAGCAGCATGACCATGTCCCATTGACCACAGTGGCGCATGCATGTATGGCGGTTTAAAACCATCTAGACGGAAAAGCTCAAACGAACGCAACTGCGAGAAGAGTGCACATGAATGGAGGCAAGGGTGGAATGAAGCACAGAGGCACGCAGAGGGGGGTTGCTGTGGGTGGGACGCACATGACCAGCGCGGGAGGAGATGCCGTCCGGTGCAGCTGTGAGCGAGTCAAGAAAGTCAACCAGTGCTGCTGATGTGGATGGTGCGAGGCTGGCGGGGAGGGGAGAGAGTGCGGCCAGGCTGCATGCTGCCAGCTCAGCGTATTGCGATGACACCACTATTGTGCTGCTCTGTTGAATCACCTCCTTTATAAGCATGTCCACTGGAAGGTGGTGAGGAGAAGGAGAGACATGATGGATTTATGAACAAAGCTTGCTATCCCCGGTGGATGGGGAAAACCACATAGTGAGCAGCACGAGCACGCATACATCTCAGATGCTTGACAAACAACCACACAGATGAGAATCAATCACTCACCCTCCATCCACCATCCCACCTTGAGCGTCCGAGCCACTGCTGCTGGCAGCAAGGGAGGAGGCGTTGCCTCTGAACATGGCGGCCCATGCAGCCACGGCCTGCAGCAGCTGCGCGCCATCCCCCCGTGCTGCTGCCGGCGCCGCCACCGCTGCCAGCCACTGCTCCGATGACAGCTCCTCCCCGCCCTCGCCTCCTGTGCCCTCCTCTCCCCGCACTCCCGACCCTGACCTTCCAGCCGCGCCAGTGGAGGGCACGGTGACGGGTTGGGGGGCCACGGCGTCCGTGACAGCACCGGCAGCAGAGGCCACTCGCACTGCCAGGGACGACTTGCCGGGGGGGAGGATGATGAGGGCCGCGGGCGAGGCGCAGGGCAGCGTGAGTGGCTGCAGGGATGTAGCGGACGGTGCAGGGGAGGAGGGGGAGGGGGAGGCAGGGGAAGGGGTGGAGGCAGGCTGCAGGGTGGCGAAGGTGTAGGAGAGAGGCAGGTCCTGGGGCTGGGCGGACCAGCCAGGCGCGGAGAGAGTAAAGAGCTGCCCGCTGGTGTCCCCGGGGGCGGGCTGCACGAGGAACGTTCCTCCCCAGGGCGCCTTGGCGGCAGGGAGGGTGAGCGAGGCGGACGTGGTGGGCTGGGGGGGGTTGGCAGGGATGGCTGTGGCGGGCTGGCCGTCGGGCGTGAGGGAGGAGGCGAGGGAGGCGCGGGAGGAGGGCGAGGGGAGTGGCAGTGAGTAGACGTCGCAGCGGTAGGTGGAGGCATCGCCCCGGGCGAGCTGTGATGGCCGCAGCACCAACGGCTGGTTCGTCACTGCATGGGCATGGGGGAAAGGTTTTGGGCGTTGGATGTGGAAGGGGCGCGGGAGAGGAGTGAGAAAAGGAGAGGTTGATGGTTGGAAAGCAGGTGCAGGAGGGATTGAAATGAGTGAGATTGAGGTGAGACTGAGATCGGGCTGAGGGCAGACGACGGTGGTATGGTAAGGGCGTGTAACCATTTTGCATTCTTTCGTACTGTCCGCTTACATTGTGTTGACGTTTTGCAACTTTGGCCCGTCCGGATGGACAAGTGACACTTTTTCGTGTTGTATATTTTCGCGATTACAGTAGCCTCGTTAGAGGCACTGTACCTTTGTACCTCGATTCTCGACATCTTTTCTGCAAATTCGAGCGCCAATCTCGATCTCATATTTTCAGAGAACTTCGCGAGCCAATCTCTTGCAAGGACTGCTGGACCGTCCGTTTGGGTTTCGGACTGTCCACGGTTCACATTTCGAACCGTTGAAAAGAGGAAAAAGTGACGCCACGGTCCGACGAACACGTAGACAACATAAAACGAAACACGTAACCCCAGGTCGGTCCCGACGGTCCACGTTTCGAACCGTCGGGGGCAAAATGGTTACACGCCCTAGGGGGTGAAATGCAGCGCAGAGCAGCAGAACACAGCAGCGCATACCATTGAGGTCGAGGAGAGTGCCATCGGAGAGAACCTGCTTCCACGCATAGGCATAGGGCATGGCGTCCACCACACACTGCAGCTCCACCGCCTTTGCCCTGTCTATTGCGATCCCCGCCTGCACTCCCCTGCTGCTCCTCTCTGCTGCCGCTGATGCTGCTGATGCTGCTGATGCTGCTGATGCTGCTGATGCTGCTGCTGCTGCTGCTGATGCTGCTGATGCTGCTGATGCTGCTACTGCTGCACTGTCACCGCTATTTGCGCTGCTGCCGCTGGAGCCTGTAGAGCCAACACCACTCGTGTTCCCAGCACCAGTTGTGCTGCCATCACCACCAGTGGTACCAGAACTATTAGAACCAGACCCAGTGCTGTCACTGCTGCTTGTAGAACCAGCACCGCCAGTGCTGCCATCACCACCTGAGCCAGTGCCATTGCTGCTGCTGCTGTCCGTAGGACCAGCAGCAGCCGGGCTACCAGAGCCACCCATGCTGCCAGCACCACCTGTACCGCCATCACCACCAGTGTTGCCCTGCTGCACCCCTGGAGCCCACTCCGCCATCGCCCCTGCCGCCCGCCCCCAGGCCGCCGCCACGCCAACCGCAGCGGCCGGAACGGCCCGGTCCACTGCGGTTACCACAGCGACAGCTGGAACGCTCTCACGGGCCAGCGCAGCGGGGGAGGTGCCCGGGAGGGAGAGGGGGTTGCGGGAGACGAGGAGGGAGAAGCGGTAGGAGCCAGGGGGGAGGGCGTTGGCGGGGACGGTGAGAGACGAGGTGCTCTGGGCTAGCACGGCTGTGGCGCTGGGGAAACAGGCTGCCGCACCCGCACTACCGCCCGCCACACTGCTGCTGCTGCTGGTGGTGCTGGTAGGCGTGGACAAGGCTTGAGCTTGAGCCGTGGGAGGAAGGCGAGCCTGGTCTTCTGAGAGCAGCTCACAGCCCCACGTGTACTGAATGGGCAGCGGCTTCCCCCCACTGTCCCTCGCCTCGTCTGCATCCACCACCACCGCCTGCAGCAGCAGTTGCTCCCCCACCGACACCACCCTGTCTCCGCCCGATATGGCCACTCTCAGAGGCGACGCGCTCACCCTCACTGCCACTCTGTCAGTTGCTTTTACGGCTGGATCTGCTGCTGACGTGGCCTCCAGTGATAGGACATAGGTTGCGCCCGGCTGGAGGGTGCCTGGGGGGATGGTGAGGGCGGGGGAGTGGCGCGAGCGGGCGAGGGCGGGCAGGGAGAAGTTGAGAGGCGGGCCGGCAATGAGCGACCAGGCGAAGGTGAGGGCGGGGGGCGCGTTGGAGAGGGCGAGCAGGGCAGGGGGGGCTGTGGCTGTTGGCGTGGGGAGAGGGGACGCTGCTGCTGCTGCTGCTGCTGCTGAGACCGCTGCCGATGCTGGTATCACTGCGGCTGCTGTTGCTGTTGCCGATGCTGCTGGTGGGGTAGGAGAGGCAGTGGAGGAGGAGGGGGAGGGCGGGAGGCAGGAGGAGTCGGGCAGGGAGGCGAGGGAGGAGATGGTGAGGGAGTCGCCGGGCCGGGCGGAGAGCAGGCGCAGGGCGGAGGGGGAGGCGGGGGCGAGGATGCGCAGCAGGGGGGCGGCTGTGGCGGACTGGGTGACGAGCAGTGATGCGTTGGCTGCCCTGCCGTTGGGGTCCGTCACGAATACTGCGAACTGGAGGGGGGAGAATGAGAGAGGCACATGGGGGGAAGGAGTGGTAGGGAGTGAGGGGAGGGGAGGGGAGGAGAGGAGAACGGTGATGAGCATGGGGTGAGGATGAGAGGGGAAATGAAAAAGTGGCCAGTGTTTTCGAGTGGCTTTCACCTCAGAGATCCTCTTGCTCACAGATCTATTGGCCCCCTCACAAACCCATCGCTTCGTTCTCCTCATAAGCGGTCCCAGGGGTGAGTGTTCTGGGCGGGACGGTAAGCGTGGTCATGGTGGCATGGGCGCCGTGCGGCGACACAATGGGGTGCAGCGAGAGCGACTCCGTCAGCGTCCCTCTGCTCTCACACCTACCTACTGCCCCCCTCACGCGCCCATCTCCCCTCTCACCTCGTATGCCGCTCCAGGAGTCAACGTTTTGGGCGGGATGGTGAGTGTGGTGGCGTCAGCGCCCTGCGACGACACGAGGAGGTCCAGCGAGAGCGACTCGGCATCGGAGAACACGCGCCAGGAGAAGGCCAGCGCCGCCCCGTACAGCGACCGCGACCCCGACGCGTCCAGCACCAGCGCGTCGCACAGCCCCACCGTGCCCGGCGCGTCCAGTGCCGCCACCACCACCGCCCCCGCCTGCACCGCTTCCTGCACCTCCTGCGGGGTTCGCGCACCTGATGCGCCGCCTGGCGGGCCGACGCCCACGGCGAGGGCGGAGGAGGAGGAGGCAGGGGAGGAGGAAGGGGAGGAGGAGGAGGGGGAGAGGGTTGGGAGGAAGGAGAGGGTGGCGTTGGGGGCGGTGGCGGCGGTGAGGGAGGTGAAGGGGCGCAGGGAGGAGTTGAAGCCCAGGTAGACCAGCAGGCGGGACGAGTCCTGCCACACGCACTGCGCGCCACTGCCCACCCGCGCCAGGCTCTCCCCATCCAGCAGCTCCGCGCACTCCTGCTGCCCCACTCCTCCTCCCCCCATCCCCCCTCCTGCCCCCCCTGCTGCATCCCCTGCTGCCCCTCCTGCTGCCCCTCCTGCTGGTGGTGCTCCAGCGCTAGCAGTGGAGGGCGAGGAGAGGGTGGGAGTGGGAGAGAAGGCAACAGAGAGGGCGCGCTGGGAGCAGTCGAAGGAAGCCAGCACACTAGCTGACGGCGCAGGCGGTAACACTACCACGTCAGCAGGGCTGCCCATGACGTGGGTAGGGCCCACTTTGGTTGACACTGTGTACGTCCCTGCTGCTGCCGTGGGGAAGGTGAAAACGAGGCCGCCAGCTGGCAGACTGGGATTCTTGAGAGATGAGTCAATCTGTGTGGGCTGCATTGCTGATGCTGTTGCTGCTTCCCTTGCTGTTGTTGCGCTGCTGCCACTGGCAGCAGCAGAGGAGGAAGAGGAGGATGGGGCAGGGACGAATGTGACATTCAAGGTCAGCCCTGACTCGCCTGCTGTGGGGTACTCTATTGGGTTCGTATACAAATCCCGGGCAACCACCAGAAAAGTTTGATTGCTGCCCACCAGCGTACCGTTCACCAGGCCCAGCAGCGAGCACGCAGCAGGAGAAACCGGGCCGGGCAGCACAGTAAAAGAAAAGGGCGACCCCCAGAGGTGCGCCCCCGAGGGCAGGTGGGTAACGGAGAGGTGAGCCGGACCCGACTCAAAGACAGTGATGGTGGCGGTGACGGTGGGCGTGGAGGGCGAGGAGAGTAGCACCCCGTGGTGGGCCTCTGAGGAGGGCGAGCGCGTGTGCAGCAGGAGGGGCAGGCCCGGCAGCAGGTAGGGGTTGGAGAAGGCGTCGGTGAGCGTGACGTTGAAGCTGTAGGGCTGGCCCGCCACCGCTGTGGCTGACAGGTCGTGCAGGCGCGATAGCGAGGGGGAGAAGGGGCCTGGTGGAGTGGATGGATGAGGGTGGGGTAGGGAGGGAAGTAGATGCAGGGGAAGGGCGTGGGGAGGAGAGGGTACGAGTGAGCTAGGTGGAGAGGTAGTTGGAGCTTGTGTGTAACTTCAGCGATGCAAAAAAGCAGAGGTTATCTTCGGAATGTAACCTGATGTGGTTACCGTCAGGAAGCACTGAGAGTGACTGGAAATAAAACGTGGTTACCTTCAGAATGTAACCTGATGCGCAGCAATCTGACATCATGCAGTGGAGTCACTGCGGGGGATGAGCGAACCGACCTGGCAGGATGTGGATGGGGGTGCTGAAGGCCGTCTGGTTGTTCAGAAGCACTGAGAGCGTGAAGTTGCCTGGCTCGTACAGCAGGAAGCTTCCCAGATAGTTCCCCTTGGAGTTGACAGTGGCAGCGGAAGTAAAGACAGGCTGAGTGGTGCGGTACAAAGCGATGGGGACGGATGGGGGGAAGTGGGAGAAAGAAAGGAGGGATGGAGGAAAGCGAAGGAGTGTGAAGGATGTATGCACGTAGGGGGTTGAGAAGCTCAAGCACACTCAAGATGATCACATGAGAACACAATGCAGAAACTTTTGGACATGGTCGCATTGCTTGGCGGTGCAGAGCTAGGAGAGTAGGATAGGGAGACACGCGGCACAAGAGGCGAGTGATTGACCTGTTTGCTGGCAGGGCGGGTGAGCAGCACAGTGAGCGAGTCACCCTCCCCGGTGAGGCGGTTGAAGGTGCGCGGGGCACCAGAGGCGTCCAGCACCGCCATGCTGAAGGCTGTGCGCCGCCCTACCATGCACGCCCCCCTCCCACACGCCTGCAGCGCTGCCGCGTCCACCCTCACTGCCACAGCCGGCCCTGAGAGGGCACGCCGGGCATGAAGATGCGGGCATGACATGATAGCAGCATGATATGATGCATGGATGAGGAATGCACAGGACGGATACATGCCACACATACACGGTTCAATTAGATGGCGATGATGCACAACGGCAATGCAGATGCATTTGGGAAGAGCACAGGTGGAGTGGATGCACGCTCGCATCGCATGACAACAAGTGGTGAATACGAGACATTCCAGACACCAAAACGGCTGTTGGCAGCTCTCTACCCATACTGCTTGCCACCCAGCTCACCTGGCGCCGTCTCAAATGTCAACCCAGCTCACCTGGCGCCGTCTCAAATGTCAACCCAGCTCACCTGGCGCCGTCTCAAATGTCAACCCAGCTCACCTGGCGCCGCCTCAAATGTCAACCCAGCTCACCTGGCGCGAGCAGCAGCTGGAACCAGCCAGCAGACGAGCCGTCCGGCGTGGAGTAATGCACGTTGCGCCACGCCACATGCGCCGCTGCCGCCACCACCGTCACCGTCACGTACCCTCCCTTGCTCACACTCACACTCACACTGTCCTTGCCCCCCTCCGCCCCACCCGCCTGCGCGCCTGCAGCAGCAGCAGCAGCAGCAGCAGCAGGGCCGAAGAGGAGAGTGGGGTCGGGGTCGAGGGCATCAAAAGAGGGTGTGAGTTTGAGCACCAGGGCAGAGTCATCCTCAACCAGCACTGCCATGCCGCTACCATCGGTGAACCGCACGCCGAACTTGGTTTCCGAACCAGCCGCGCCGCCACGGAGCTGGTAGCCGTTCGGAATGGGGACCCCGTCCGCCGTGACAGCTGTCACCGTGAGATTGGCCGGGAGTGGCGCGTTGGGCGGCAGGGCGGGGTGAACAGTGATGTTGGTGGACTGGAATCGGACCGGGCGGCTGTTGACAAGCACCGATACTGACAGCCCGTACGGAGCTGCTGCTGCCGCTGCCGCTGCCGATGGCGCTCCCGTGGCTGTGTTATTGGGGGGATTGAACGAGCCTCGGAAGATGCACCCCCCGCCGTACCCCATTCGGGCGCGAGGCACGGCCGAGGCTGGAGGCACGGGCAGGAAGGCGCCGGGCGTGGGCGCAGGGAGAGCAACAAAGGCGAGAGTCACCGAGACCTTGAGCAGCTTGGCGGAGTGAGTGAGGAGAGGGAAGCCCTGCGCGTCCCTCACACACATGCCCATCTCCACCACTGTGCCCGCCCGCACCCCCCCTCCCTGCTGCACCCCTGCGCCGTACAGAGTGGAGTGTGCGAGGCTGACGGGGCGCGGGAGGATGGTGGCCTGCAGGGGGAGGGAGGAGGCCGGGTCGGAGAGGGGCAGGGCGGCGTTGGGGGGACCCACCATGAGCTGGAGAGAGGCTTGCCCGGGGGTCTGTGGTGTGAAGGAAAGCTGCCACGCAGGGATTGGGGCGGCGGAGGCGGGGGAGGAGGAAGGGGAGGCGGGAGAGGGAGAAGGGGCGGGTGTGGCGGCTGGCTTGCTGTTGCGGCCCGCTGTGGCAGCTGTGGTGGTAGTGGAGTCCGCAGCAGAGGCAGTGGTGGCTACAGTGCCCTCCCATTCCGTCCCACTCATCTCCGCTACAGTCACATTCACTGCTGTCACGTTCAGCATATACGTCTCCCCCACCACCCCTCCCGTCGCCTCATCCACATGCGACACCGTCACCGACCCGCCCACCCGCCCCTCCTCCCCCGCCCCGTGCCCCACCACGTTCCCAAACCAATCACGCAGCGCCACGTGGACAACCACTGGGCGGGCCACGGGGAAGGAAGCACCAGGTGGAAACCCAGAGAGGGAGAAGGCGGCCGGGGCGGCTGGGACGACTTGGAGGGCGAGAGGCGGGGAGGGGAGGGGCGAGCCGTTGAGCAGCACTTGCAGCTGGTACGAGCCGGCGATGGTGAGCGGGGCGGAAAGGGCGATGAGGGATGGGTTGATGGTCGTGGCTGCGAAGGTGGGGGCAGGGGAGGAGGCGGGGAGAGGCGAGGAGAGGAGTTTCACAGAGAGCTGCGAGGAAGCAGCAGCGGTGTTGGCGGCGGTGTTGGCGGCACCAGTGGGATCAAAGGAAGCCACGTTCCCAAGCCCGTCTCGCAGCGCCACCAGCACTTCGGCTCTTCCCCCCGCCCGCACCCTCACCCCTCCTGCCGGCACCAGCACCGCAGACGTGTTAGCAGCAGGCGGGCCGGGCAGGACAGTGACAGCAGCAGTGGCAACAATAGTGTTGTGAAACACCACCCACACCGCCACCCGCCCTGCCTGCATGGCTGTATACCCCCCCTCGTACACCCCCTGCTCCTGCGCGCCTCCTGTGGCCGCCGGCTGCAGCAGCGAGCTGGAGTAGAGCCCTGCGTCCCCCCCTCCCCCTCCGCCCCCCCCGCCCCCTCCAAAGATCTGCAGCGTGAACAGGTCCCCTCGCACCCTCCGCACCACCCCCTGCTGGTCCCTCGCCCGCACCTTCACTACCACCGCCTCCCCTGCTGTCACGGTCGGCCCCAGCCCCGACCCCCACACATCGCAGCGCTCCGGCGCTACAGGGCCGGGGACAGAGGAGAGGAGGAAGGGCGAGCCGGGCACGTGCTCGGAGAAGAGGCGGATGGAGAGCAGGAACGGGCCGGGGCCCGGAGGGGTGAAGGTGATGAGGCAGGTGCCATCGTACAGAGGCTGCACTGTGGACGGGCGCGAGGCGGGGCGGGAGGGATCCGGGGTGGAGGGGGAGGGGGGGGGGAGGACTGGCTGGACAAGCACGTCCCAGGAGAGGGGGGCGGAGCGAGGGGATTTGGAGGCGGCGCGGGCGTCACTGAGGCCATCAGAGTTGGCGTCGGGGACAAGGAGGAAGTCGGTGGGGGTGAGGGCGAAGAGGGAGGAGCCGCCGCCTGCGAGACCTTTGACGCGCCACTGGGAGGCGGTCACCTGCCAGGCGTCTGTGCCTGCTGCTGCTGCACTGCTCTCTGCTTCTCGTAGCAACGCATCCACCCCGGGTAGATTCCGCGGCAGCGCTGCTGCTGCTGCTGCTGCTGCTGCTGCTGCTGCTGGGGCTGCTGTGTTGTCCTCGTCAGAATCACTGGCTGCTGATGGTGCCGGTGCTGTTGGTGCTGCTGCCGCTGCTACTGGTGCTGCATCTGCCACAGCTGCTGCTGCTGCTGCTGTTGCCACTGCAGTTAATGCTGCTGGTTGGGCAGTGGCGTTGGCAGCAGCGTCAGTGACGTCGACCTCAATGGGCCCGTTGGCGCCGCCCACAAAGTACCCCGCGATCTTGATGGACAGCTGGTACCGCCCGGGCTGGGCGGCAGAGAACACCGCCACACACGACCCGTTGTACAGGTCGCGCAGAGCCGTGCTGGGCGGGGCAGCAGGAGGAGCATTCGAAGCCGGGGGCGAGGAGGACGAGGAGCGGGCAGGAGTGGCGGTGAAGACGAGAGGGAGGGTGTCCATGAGAGGGCTGTACGGACCCACGTTGCCAAACTGATCTGCTGTGGTCACCAGCAGCACCAGCGGCTGATTCACCGGCTGGGAGAGCACCGAGTGCAGAGAGGCGTTGACAGTGGAGAGGGCAGCAGCAGCGGAGCCGCGGAAGAAGGGCACGAAGAAGGGCCCGTCCATGACGTCCGCGGGGGCCTCGCCGCTGCCGTCCACATGCAGCTGCACTCGCACGCGGTAAAACCCCCCGTGGGGCGGCTCGTACGTGGTATATGTGATGCGGTACGCACCGCCCCCCAGGGCTACCACCGACCGCACCTCGGCCTGGCGGGTCACGTTGCGTCGCGCGAACACCGTCACCACCACCGCCACCGCCCCGTCCATGAACGTCGCGCTGCTGCCCCACGCACTGGCGCTCCCGCCACCGCCGCTCGTGCTTCCACTGCTGCTGCTGTTGTTGCCCTCCCCGCCCTGTGCCAGATGCGTCCACCTGCCCTGCGCGCCCCCCCCTTGGGCCGTGGTCTGCCCCGGGTACAGCCCCTGTGCCGTGCGTGTCTGCAGCGTGAACGTCGAGGGCGCACCTGCCACTGTGCGCTCCAGCCCCGGCCCGAACGCGTACGACAGGGCGGCGGCGGGCGGCGCTGGGAGAACGGTGAGGGGGAAGGTGGCACCTGGGACAGGCTGGCCTGCGAGGTAGACCTGCACCTGCACGGGACCCAGGGCGCGCAGCACTGGGTGCGCCACGAGAGAGGTGGACTGCCCGCCTGCTGCTGCTGGCACCATGGCACTCGCGTCTGCTGCACTGATCCCACTTGCATCCGCCCCGCTGCTCCCACTGCTGCTGCTGCTGCTGCTCTCGGTGCTGCTGCTGTCCCCACTGCCATCCCCACTGCCATCGCCGGTGCCATCCCCGGTACCATCACCGCTGCTCCCTGACTGGGACTCCTGCAGGGAACGCGGCGGAACAGGCTCAGCCGTCGAGGCAGTGCTGCTGCCGTTGCCCGCTGTGCTGTTGCTGGCGGCAGGTGAGGCGGGCGGGGGCGGGGCTGAGGGAGCCGCGGAGGGTGCGGGGGAGGACGGGGGCGAAGGGGACGGCGAGGGCGACGGGGAGGGGGGCGGTGAAGGAGGGGGGGGAGCCGGGGGCGAATTGGAGGGAAGGATGGCATAGAGCAGCGAGGAGGGGTCAAAGTCACGGATCTCATTCCCCAGGGCGTCTCTGGCCACCACCGTGACGTTGGGGGGCGAGCCAGCAGCAGCGGAGTTGCTGTTGAGCTGCACCGTGCTGCGCTCTGCAGAGGGCGCACCTGGCACCACCTGCAGCAGCGGCACCGGGAACACCAGCTTCTTCCTGGAACCTTCCAGCAGCACCGTCACACTGAAGTTGCCTGCCTGGCGCGCTTCAAATTGCACGTCCAACACACACCCAGCCGCCGCCCCTGCCCCTGCCCCGTCTGCTGCTGCTCGCTTGCTGCCTGTGCCTCGTGCTGCTGCTCCTGATGCTTCCTGCTGCATACCGTATTCGGAGGCAGTGAGCGCCTGGCACAGCGGCAGCAAGCATGCAGCACTCCACATGCACTTCACCCCTTCGGGCTCTATCCCCCCCGCTTCTTCCACCTGCTCCCCCCCCTCCTGCCCCCCCTCCTGTGTCGGCTTCACTCGCTTCCCACCCCCCACAGCCGCCATCACCACAGTGCCTGCCTCCTCCTGCCCGTCCGCACTCCCCCCTCTCTCCCCACCACCCCCGCCCGCATCCGCCTCGCCCTGCGTCCACAGCCCCCCCCACCAGGAGGCGCGGTGGGTGAGGTTCACCAGCCTCAGCACCACGGAGCATGGAGCCTTCACTGCCGCTGGTGGGGCAGCAGCGGCAGCGGCAGAGGCAGAGGCAGAGGCAGAGGCAGGGTCAGACGAGGAGGAGGAGGCGGCAGCAGCGGCAGAGGCAGGGGGTTGGGCGGAGAGGGAGGAGTTGGGCAGCAGGAGGTGGTAGGGGATGGCGGTGTTGCCCAGCGCATCGCGCAGCACCAGCCTCATAGCCACCACACTGCCCGCCTCCGCCTCCCTCACATCCCCCCCGTCCACATAGCTCTCCCCCGGGTCCACCTCCCCCGGCAGCACCATGAACTTCTCCGCCTTCGCCCCAAATGCCACCTCCCCCAGGTAACCCTGCACTGTATACTCGCCTGCCCGGGTGAAGTTGAGTTCAGCATCGAAGCTCCCTGCCTGTAGCCTTCCGAACGCCACGTCCCCTGCAACAGGTACAGCCTGCCCCTTGGGGGGCTGGCAGGCGGGTGCAGGGGAGGCGACAACTGAGAAAGCATCTGCTGAGGGCGGGTAGCGGCTGAGGCTGTAACTCTGCTGGTTACCGCTGCTGTCGCTGGCGTGCAGAGGCAGACGAACGGCGCCGCCCACCACGACAACGCGGCCGAAGGCGGGGGCTGGGGCAAGGGCGAAGGAGCAGCGGGCGGCGGTGGTGGGGCCGGGGAGGACGGTGAGAGAGAAGGAGCCCTGTGTGCCGGATATGAGCCCGTAGCTTGTGTCCTGTACCCCTGCCACTGCACCCTTGATGCTGCTGCTGCTGCTGGTGCTGGCACTGGCAGTGTCAACAGCAGTCTGCAGGGTGCGGCCATGCAGTGCAGAGGAGGCATCGCTGCTGCTGCTGCTGCTGCAAAAGGTTGCTGGAGATGGCGGGGCGACAATGGATTGGGTGGAAGGGAGGGAGGGAAAGAGAGCATCGTGAGCCGACACCGACGAGCCATCCGTTGCCTCAGTGCTGTCAGCCTCTGTGCTGTCAGCACTGGCAGTGACAGCGGGTGCTCTGTGCTTGTGCAAGTGCGTGTGAGCAGCAAGAGTGATCTCATCCAACCCATTGCTTGGCTCTGCAGCTGATGCAGCACTGGCAGAGAGGGCAGAGGGAGCTGCAGAGGGGGCAGCAGAGGAGGAAGCATTGTCCCCCCCAACTGCATCGCCCTGCAGCAGCTGCAGCGGCAGGCCTGACTTCACCACCATGCTGCTCGCCCGCCCCAGGCACTCCGTGCAGATCAGGACAAAGCTGCCGGCCACCGGAACTGTAACCTGCGCTTGCCACAGCGCGGGGATGGGCTTGCCCCCAAAGGAGGGAACGACGGGTGTGGCAGTGATGTCAGCCACTTGCCCCTGTGTGGAGAGCAGTGTGAGGGAGAGATTGGCGGAGAGCACAGCAGGGTCGGATACAGCTGCCATGCCTGCTGCATCCACTGCCACGATGCGCAGCCACATGGCGGCGCCTGATTGGACGAGAGGTGGCGCGAACGCGAGCAGCTGCTGCATGGGGCCGGAGGCGGGCGATGCGGTTACCACACACGTGGGCTGGGCGGCAGCGCTGCCTGCACTGACGTCCACTGCTGGGGTTGCTGCCACAGTCACGTTCTGCAGAAGCACATCGCCCACAGTCACAAGGATAGCATAGGCCCCGGGCTTGGTGACGCGATAGGAGATGGAGTAGCAGCCGTTGCCGCTGTCCACCACACTCACTGCCGTACCCTCTGCCACCGCCGGCATACCCCTCTGCACCGCTCCGTTCCCCCCTGCACCCACCAGCGCTGCTGCTGCTGCGGCCCCTTGTGCTGCGGGCACCACTCCCACCTGCACGTCCTGCCCTGCGCCCCCTGCCAGCAGCACGTTGCCCCACGCGTCCCTCAGCTGCAGCTGCAGAAACGCTGGGAACTTCGGCACTGCTCCATGCGCCCCTGGCCCGTATAGCAGCGAGGAAGGCGGGTGCAGAGGGCCGGGGAGCACTGTGAAGGGGAACGGGCTTCCTCGGATGTGCCGGCCTGAGAGAAGCACCGAGAGAGACGCCACCCCTGCGAGTGTGCCTGTATCGAATGTGACGTCCAGGGAGGAGGAATTGGAGGGCGAGGTGGGCGAGGAGGGGGAGGCAGAGAGGGTGAGGGTAGCGGGGTAGGTGAGCTGCTGCTGGGAGAAGTTAGAGGCGACTGAGAAGGACGCGGAGAAGAGCGAGAGGAGGGGCTCGGCGGGCAGGTCGGAGCCCATGGCGTCGCGCACGTACACTGTGAGGCGCCCCGTCTGCCCCACCGCCACCTCCTGCGCCGCCACCAGCAGTGGCCCTGAGGCGTCCCCACTGGGCTCGCCTGGCGCTACTTGTAGGAGCACGGAGGAGGAGGAGGAGGAGGAGGAGGAGGAGGAGGAGGAGGAGGAGGAGGAGGAGGAGGAGGAGGAGGAGGAGGAGGAGGAGGAGGAGGGAGAGGAGGGCGCGGACGAGGCAGCAGAGGAAGCGGAGGAGGGAGAGGAGGCGGGTGAGGGTGGAGGGTTTTGGAGATTGATGGTCTGCTGGGCGCGGATGAGGGAGAGGGTGGGGGAGTAGTCGCCGTGAGAGGGTGGGGTGAAGCGCAGGACGATGAGCCCTGAGGCCCCATCCACCTCCACTCCCACCCCCGATGGCCCCTCCCCCCACTCACTGCCCTCCCCACCACCGCCGCTGTCACCGCTGCTGCTGCTGCTGCTGTTGCTGCTGCTGGTACCAGCGGCACCGTTCACTTTTGTCACACTGGCAACAATCACATCAGCGTCGGTGGCAGGGATCTGCGTGCCGTCCGAGCTGACGAGAGCAAACGCCATCTGCGCCTGCTGCCCCGCCACCGCTGCAGGTGCGGCCGCCATGATGGGGGAGAGCGGCGTGGAGGCGGCGGGGAGGAGGGCGGCGGGGAGGGGGATGGCGGAGCGGAAGAAGTTGGGCGCCTTGAACTTGAGGCGGTTGCCCTGTGTGTCCGCCACCACCACCATCACACTGTACGCTCCTGGCAGCTGTGGAGCAAGGAGACGGAATCACACGGGGAGGAATGGGCACATCACATGTGTGGTGGAAGGTTGAGAGGCGGGTCAGGAACAACTATTTGTACTGGATGAGAGGATGTGCAATATGCTATGTGCGTACCATCGCGTAAAATTGTACCACGGGTGGTCATGGGACGCGTTAACGAACGATCGACTGTGGCGTTGACGTGACTCGTGAGGATCGCACCTTGACTGTGAAGTTGGCAGTGAGAACCTCCCCGCCCGCAGCATCAGTGGCGTGGGTGACGGCAAGGGGGAAGGTGCGGCGGCGCGAGTGCGGCATGGGACCGAACAGCTGCACGCGTGACTGTGACAGGTCCACCTGTGATGACAGGCGGAAGAAGGGCGACGACACACCCCCAGGTGCTGCTGATGCTGCTCCCGCCTCCCCCTTCTGAAGCTGCTGCTGCTGCTGCGGTGGCTGCTGCACGGCGTGGAGGCCTGCCTTGGGGCCGGAGGAGAAGGCAACGCGGAGGAGCACGGGGGAGCCGAGAGGGGCTTCAGACAGCAGCGACCCCGACAGCACTGCGGACGACAGCTCTGTCAGACTCATCCCGCCCTCCGTGATCGGGCCCCCCTGTGCTGCCTCGCTCCCTCCCCCTCCACCTCCACCTCCCCCTCCCTCTGCTGCCTTGCTTCTCTTGTCTCGCCCTCCGCCCTGCGCCACCTGCTCGCTGCGCTGTTGCTTCAGCTGTCTCCCCCGGCCCGCCCCTTGCTGCTCGCCAGCTCTGCTCTCCCCCGCTCTGCCCTCCTCTGCGCCTCCCCCTGCCCTGCCTGCGTCCGCATCAGTTGTGCGCGCTGAAAACTGGAACCCTCCAGCTCTCACCACGTCCTCCTGCCCTGCTGCTGACGTGGCATGCAGGCCCGGTGGAGCAGAGGTCTCCGAAGAGGCTGAGGTGGCAGCAGCTGATTGGAAGAGAGATGGCAGGCGAAGCGGGTCGAGAACAGGGAGGAAGTCAGCGAGCAGAGAGTCACCCTTGTCCGCCCCACCCGACCCTGAAAGTAAGTCGGGCCCACCCCACCCTAAATGTGAGTCGCCCCCACCCCATCCTGCGTGAGAGTCCGCCTGTCTGCCGTGGAAAGCACCTCCGCCCCTCCCCACGTGCAACGCTCCCCCTTCTGCCCCCCCTCCACCAGCACCCGTTGACCTCCTTTCATGCGTCCCCGCCCTTTCACGCCCGCTCTCCTCCTCCTTGCCTTCCCTCCCGTTCCCCCCCACTGCACCTGCTTGCCCCACCACCTCCCCCATACTACGGCTGCCATCTCCACCACTTGCATCGCTGCCACTCCCCTCCTCCCCAGGCCATTCCTCCTCGCTCCCCGCCCTCTGCTCCCTCAGTGCGTCCCTCCCGCCGCCTGCCTGCCCCGCATGCCATGTCAGCAGCTGGTGCTGCCACTCCGCCAATGGAGCCCTGCCAGCCACTCAGTGACGTCACATCACACATCATACCATTCCGGGAAATCGCAGTCAAAGTCATCACATACCATGTCATTGCGTTACCACGCCATACCGTTCCAATTCATGCCATGGCGTGCCGCGCCAGTTACAGTACAGCAGACCACACCAGCCAACAATGCATATCACGGGCAAATGTCAGTCAAGGATTGTGAGGCAAAGCCACGTCAGTAAAAAGGCTGTCACTTAAAGCCACGTCAGTCGAGCCATTGTCCGTCAAACCCACGTCAGACAAAAACGCGTCAGTCAGCAAAACGTCAGTAGCGATGTCAGTCAAAGCTGCGTATGGAGCGAGTCGACAGGCCAACCTGAACCTGAACTCCGTCCAGCTTGCTTCACTCCACCTCTGGATTTGGAAGGTCGTTTTGCGAATTTACCCCAAAAATCACCGAGCAATTCAACAGACCACCCCGCACCTCCTCCACCTTACTCACTTCACCTCTCCACCTCTTCAACAAGCGCATAACCCCTCACCGCTCCTTCTCTATTTCCTCTCCCAGTTTATCCAGCTTCAAGCACCTCACAACCAAAGTCAAGCCATGCGCTACTTTACGGCAGGGCGACACTCACCCTCTCACGCGAGAGTAAGCGAAGTCCGGCGAACGCCTTTCGGAACGACTCGCGAAACGAGCGAAATTTGACACCTTGTTGCTAAAGTGAGCTGAGAGAGGTGGGAAACGAGGAAGCAAGAGGATGGCGACCATCAACTCAGCGGGGAATAGCGCGCGCGCGACGAATGTGAGAAATCTACAAAGCGAGACAGAATTACTGGTGAGAAAACCAAAGAACGCGACGGGGTTACTGGCGGTGCTCGGGGTGACTGCGACGACGGACCTGAGTGCGAGGTCGAGGGAAGAACGACGATTGTGAAAGCGAGGAGAAGAAAGACGACACGTTGACACAACCGTGACCGGGCCATGCGGAGACCGAGACGACGGCTTAAGTAACCGCGGTACCACTATCGGCTCCTAACTCTCTAATTTTCTTGCCATCGCTGACTGGCTGCTACTTACAAACACTCGCTACGTAGGAAAATACTTCCGTGCGCTGCGGCTACTTCCATACGACAATACTGTACTTCGGTGTGGCATTCTCAAGGGTAGACGGGAAGGTGGTGGCAGTCGTGGCCAAGGGGGTTGATGCAGGAGGGATGCACGCTGCGATGGTGGCGTCGGTGGTGGCGCGAAACTGGCTATCGCGACCTGAATGCACGCGTTCCACTGTACGTACAGATGGATATAATCGTCTACATTGCAGTGACCTTGAAACTGTTAGAGGGGTGTTTACTGTTCATTCCGACAAGTACATTCCTAGTCACCATTATCCTTATCTTCTCAGATTCTCTAGTGCCACGTGGCACTCTACTTTTCTTGCACTCCAATTCTTGGTCCCACATTCCACTTTCCAACCTTGTTTCTTGCATGCTATATAAACCTTGCTTGTACTTGCCATTATCAATCAATTCTCATTCAACTCTTCTTCAATTACTCAGTAACTTCTTCGCCTATTTCGCCAATAGTTCTTTCGCCAAAGTCTTCCGCCGTGTTTCATCCTCGACTTAGTCGACCCCGCTAATTCTTTAGCGGACTTAGGCCGTCGGGCCTAACACTTGGTATCAAGAGCCTTCGCGGGGAGCGACTTCCAACGAGCGACCGTCGATGACGAGACTACGACGTCATCGTCCCGCAGTGACGACTTGCAGACTTGGAGTCGTTGAGCGAACATGGACGAAACCATGCACCAGTCCTCCACGACATGGACAACACGCTTGCCGAACTCATGCGCCAACTTCAAGAGTTGACGCTAGAAAATCGACAGGTACGAGCTGAAATGCAACAGCTTCGTGAATTGGCTTCTAACCCCCATGGTCATGCCACGCCAACTCTTGCGCCCAACACGTCGACTGGCGCGGAAGCGCTGCCGGAACGTCGAAGCGCACTCAAGCCGCAGAAACCCGAGTCGTTCGACCCAAGTCAACGCGACGCGAACGTGCGGACGTGGCTCTTCATGCTGAACAACTACTTCGCCGCGAGCGGGATGCAAGAGACGGACGCGCAGCAGCGGATCGAGTACGCTGTTACACTGCTAAGGAGCCCGGCCTTGGAGTGGTGGCGCCAACTCACTCAAACTGCTGTAAGAAGGGCTCAGACGGACGGGCATCAACAGGGCGTGGGGCATGCAGCTGCAACTTCGAGCTTAGGGAGTTTAGCTTTGGGTGTTACCACGGTTTCGACCACATGGGAAGGATTTGAAGCGGCGCTGAAAAGTAGGTTCGATTTGGTGAACGCCTCCGAAGCTGCTAGGAAGCGTCTGCGTCATTTCCGACAGATAGGCAACGTCCAGGAGTACACACGACGGTTCTTGAGCATCTGCAACGAGATAGACGATATCACGGAAGCAGAGATGCGCGATCGCTACCTCGAAGGGTTGAAGCCGGACATAGCGGAAGTCATTGCGATTCACGGGTTGTCCACCTTCGAGTCGGTAGTCGCAGCAGCAGAACGCGTCGACGCAGTACGAAGCCGACGGGGTCGTGACGATCGCGATAGGGGATACAACAGACCGATCAACGACGCTCGATCGAGGGACGGACCATCGCCCATGGAGATTGGTGCAGTTAACAGTGACGGCTCACATAAAATGGGATTTAGGGGGAACTGTCACTACTGCAAAAAGCCGGGACACATGAAGCGAGACTGCCCACAGCTTAAGGAGCGGCAGCAGGGAAACGGAAACCGCCAGTAGATAGCGGGTCGCTAGCTGGTGTGGAGGTTCCCGTACCCGCCACGTCTACCAACGTAGAGGAGACGGCTTCGCAGCAGTCATCTACGGAGAATGAGGTAGACACTGTTGATCGTCCAGTCGTGCTTCTAGGGAAGCTTCGCGGAGTTCCAGTTAAGATTCTCGTAGATAGCGGAGCTAGCCACTCGTTCGTCTCTTCATCGTTAGTTTCTCGTCTCCATCTCGAAGCAGATTCAGCAGTCAACTTCAAGGACGCTCGCATGGTAGATGGGACGCCACTTCACATAGGACCGATCATCCGCAAGTTGCGCCTAGTGCTAGGACCGATCACAGTCAGGCGTGATTTCGACTCTGCGACGCTGGACGGATACGATTTTATATTCGGGAGAGATTGGCTACGGACGGTTAGTACTCAGTTCGATTGGGCTCAGGGAAGCTGCAGCGTCAAGGTAGACGGGGAGTTCCGGGAGCTGCCACAGTGGAGCGATGGGGCCACATCATCCACAGCTATCATTAATGCTGTTCGTGTGCGACAGTTAGTGAAGCGTGCGGCACGGATCTTCGCGGTTTTTCTTGAGGAGGTGGAAGCTGAGGAGGGGAAAGGAGGGAGTGCAGCAGTTAGTGAGAAGGCGACTCTTCCTGCTGAGGTGAGTGCACTGTTAGCAGAGTTCGCAGACGTCTTCCCCGACGAGTTGCCCCCAGGGTTGCCTCCCAGCCGAGCAGTAGACCATCGAATAGAATTGGAGTCGGGGAGCAGGCCAGTAGCGAAGCCGCAGTGGAGGTTGAGTCCAGCGGAGACAGAGGAGATGACGCAGCAAGTTAGGCACTTTCTCGCACAGGGTTTCATACAGCCATCTAGATCGCCTTGGGCCGCACCGATACTTTTCGCACCCAAGAAAGACGGAGGGTTACGGATGTGCATAGATTACCGCGCACTGAACGCCGCCACCGTCAAGAATAGATCCCGGTGCCGAGAGTAGAGGATCTTCTCGATGCAGTGCAGGGCGCTAGAGTCTTCTCAAAGATCGACCTTCGTTCGGGTTACCACCAGATTCGAGTAGTTCCAGAGGACCAGCACAAGACGGCGTTTCGTACGAAGCAGGGGTTGTACGAGTTTAGGGTTCTACCGTTCGGATTGACCAACGCCCCAGCGACGTTTCAGACACTCATGAACACAGTCCTCTCCGAGTTCCTAGGGTCGTTCGTTGTCGTTTACCTAGACGACATCCTAGTGTTCTCTAAGACGAAAGATGAGCACGTGCAGCACTTGCAGAAGGTCTTCGAGGTCTTACGGAGGGAGCAGTTATACGCTAAGCAGTCGAAGTGCGAGTTCTTCCTTCCAGAGGTCGAGTTCCTAGGACCCGTCGTATCCGCTAGTGGCATTAGGACTGACCCGAAGAAGATCGCAGCAGTACAGGATTGGGTAGCACCGACCTCAGTCAAGGAGTTGCAGAGCTTCCTCGGTTTCGCGAACTACTACCGTCGTTTCGTTCAGGGTTACGCATCGATCGCTAGTCCACTGACCGACCTACTTCGGAAGAGCGTAGAGTACGTTTGGGGTCCAGCGCAGCAGCAGGCGTTCGAGCAGATGAAGCAGTCGCTCATGTCTTCACCGACACTGTCGTACCCTGATCCCACTCGCCCATACGTTGTAGTGACCGACGCTTCCGATCAGGCCATAGGAGTAGTGCTTCTTCAGGACAAGAGACGCGGGTTGCAGCCGATCGCGTACGAGTCGCGTAAGCTTAGGGGAGCGGAGTTGAACTATCCCATACACGACAAGGAGGCGCTCACGATCATCCATGCGTATAAGGTGTGGAGGTGCTACCTAGAGGGGGCAGATAGTGTTATACGCACGGACCACTGTTCGCTTCGTTTCCTCAAGTCGCAGCCGCAGCTGAGTCGTCGCCAGGCTAGGTGGATGGAGTTCATGGAAGGGAGCTTTCACTACAGGATAGAGTACAAGCCAGGCGTGCGCAACCCAGCAGATCCGCTCACTCGCCCTAGTTGTCAGCTCGCCAGTCTCACAGTCACTGCAGGCCACCCACTGACAAAATTAGAAGGAAGAAAGAGGATTGAACTAGCAAGAATGAGGATACAAATAGCAAACCCTAGAAGAGTTGTACTCGCTATAGAGCACCCCACTACAGGCTAGAACATAAGATAATATTCTGACACACCCCCATAGCCAAAGTGGGGTGTAATCAGCAGAGCAGGCAAAGCAGTACAAGCTCAGGGTGGATCACAATGTCACCACACAATCTGAGCACAAGTTCAAGAAGAAATAGTTTAGAGTTCACAATTATGAGCAAAGCTAGTGGTAGTCACAACGGGCAAGTGAGGAGGAGGAGAGAGAGTGAGGGGAGAGGAGATAGGAGGCGACGGCTGAAGCTGCAGACACACGGGCAACATGAGGCAGACTGGCACAGCGGCTACCGGACTAAGCGCCCGGACTACAGGAGTAACAGGCCCCGCGGCTAAAGTAGCGGCAGACGAGCAACGGACCCACGGGCGGCTGGCGTAGAAGTCTAGCTCACTGGGCTACCGGGACAGCGCCCCGGACTACAGGTGCTGCGGACAACAGTACGGCAACCTCCATGCAGCTTCCCCAAACAGTCCCACCCCCCCGACACGCACCCGCTGCTACACCGCTAGCTCCACTCCCACGCACCCCCCTTAAACCCTAAACCCCAGTCTCCCACACAACCACCCCCCTCAGCGACAGCTGCAGCAGTGGGAGACGAAGGAGGAGGAGGAGCAAAGGGAAGAAGGCACACCGGCCACCCCCATACCCGACACCCCACCGCAAGCGGCCCCCTCAGGTCGCCTCGACAGGCGACGGGAAAAGGGGGGGGGGAAGGCGGGGACGGGGCCGGGGCCGCGACGGGTAGGGCGACGGGCCGCATGTAGTGCGGCGGTAGGGCCGCAGGTAGGGCGGCTGGTGGGCCGCAGGTAGGGCGGCGAGTGGCCGCAGGTAGGGCGGCTCGCGGGCCGCAGGTAGGGCGGCGGGTGGGCCGCGAAGGTAGGGCGGCGGGTGGGCCGCGAAGGTAGGGCGGCGGGCGGCCGCGACGGGTCCCCGTCGCCTGTCGCGGCGCCTCCAGAAGGCGACGCGACGAACGACGGGGCAGACGCCCGCCGCACGCCTCGGGGCGCACAGCGGGCAGAGAACCGCCGCGCGCCTTGGGGCGCACGGCGGGCAGAAAACCGCCGCGCGCCTCGGGGCGCACGGCGGGAAGGAAAAGTAGCAGCGGAAGCGAGGTGGTAACCCACCCACAGGATCGATCCAAGGGGATCGACCTGCTCTGATAGCATGACAAAATTAGAAGGAAGAAAGAGGATTGAACTAGCAAGAATGAGGATACAAATAGCAAACCCTAGAAGGGTTGTACTCGCTATAGAGCACCCCACTACAGGCTAGAACATAAGATAATATTCTGACACCCACTTCTCACAGCACTCTTCGAGCACGGTTACACAGTAAATCCCAACTTCACACCGCAGCCGCCCGCAGGAGCAGAGGTGCAGGGTAGTGTCTACATACGGAAGGGTACCACACGGATTTGGATTCCAGCCTACCGCCCTCTTCGACAGCTCCTTCTCTCAGAGGCGCACGACGTAGTTAGTGCAGGGCACTTCGGAGCAGATAAGACGGCTAAGACGCTTAGTCGCACGTACTACTGGCCCGGGCTTGCAGCAGACGTAGAGGATTACATTCGCTCGTGCGACACGTGTCAGCGTACGAAGTCCTCTCGCCAGCGTAAAGCAGGACTCTTGCAGCCGATTCCACCGCCCGACCGCCCTTGGCAGATAGTTACCATGGACTTCATCATGGCTTTACCGCGCACAGTTAGGGGTCACGACGCCATCTTCGTAGTAGTGGATAAGTTTTCTCGAGCAGTGCATTTCATCCCCACGCACGGCAAGGTCACAGCAGAGGAAGCCGCGACGCTGTTCGTAGATAACGTAGTCCGACTGCACGGGGTTCCAGATTCCATCATCTCAGACCGCGACCCTCGTTTCACTTCGAAGTTCTGGAAGCAGCTTTTCGCACTGTTTGGGACTCGCTTAGCCATGTCGTCTGCGTACCACCCAGAGACAGACGGACAGACCGAGCGTGTGAACCAGACCTTGGAGCAGATCCTTCGCAGCATCACGATGCACGACGCAGCCGCATGGGACAAGAAGCTGAGCATGGCAGAGTTCGCCTACAACAACACGCACCACTCCGCCACAGGCATGTCACCGTTCTTTGCACTTTACGGTCAGCACCCCAATGTCCCCACTCGTGTCGATCTCACACCCACAGTCCCTCGTGCGGACAACTTCCACCAGCAACTCACCTTCATTCATGATCACATGAGGAAGCACCTTGAGCTCGCAAATGCACGCATGGCACGCACCACCAACCGCAGTCGTCGTGAGGTGTCGTTCGCAGTCGGCGACCGTGTTCTCTTGGATAGCCGCAACCTCCGACTGCCACAGGACAGCAAGCTTCGTCCACGTTTCATTGGTCCATTCGTCATTGAGCGCGCACTAGGTCCAGTCGCATACCGCCTTCGCCTTCCCACACATTTCCGCATGCACCCGTCATTCCACGTGTCTCTCCTTCGCCCATACACCGATCCCAATGCCACCTTCTCGGGCCGTGATCGCACTCCACTGCCGGTAGCTGTTGACACCGACGAGCCCGACTACCAGATCCAGCGCATCCTCAGGCACCGTCGCCGTCTCCAGGGGGGTGTCACTTTCATCGACTTCTTGGTTCGTTGGCGTGGTTACGACGCAGCAGACGACAGCTGGGTTCCTTCGTCCTCGCTGTCTCCTGACAACGCTTGCCTCCAAGCGTACCTTCAGTCTGCAGGCGCCGCGGACGTCGCCTCCTTGGGCGGGGGGTAGTGTTAGAGGGGTGTTTACTGTTCATTCCGACCAGTACATTCCTAGTCACCATTATCCTTATCTTCTCAGATTCTCTAGTGCCACGTGGCACTCTACTTTTCTTGCACTCCAATTCTTGGTCCCACATTCCACTTTCCAACCTTGTTTCTTGCATGCTATATAAACCTTGCTTGTACTTGCCATTATCAATCAATTCTCATTCAACTCTTCTTCAATTACTCAGTAACTTCTTCGCCTATTTCGCCAATAGTTCTTTTGCCAAAGTCTTCCGCCGCGTTTCATCCTCGACTTAGTCGACCCCGCTAATTCTTTAGCGGACTTAGGCCGTCGGGCCTAACAGAAACAATGTGACGAAAACAATGGCAACAAAACAGAGGAGATTTAAAACCGGAATATAAAATAGTGAAGGCGGATCCAACTTGAAATCGTGCTCGGAAGAAGCAAAACTGGAACGACGATGGGCTGTATAAAACACTGTTCCGGGCAACGCCCTTCCACAGACTGAACACACGTGATTCGTTCCCGCCAAAAAAAAAAATCAGATCGTGCTCGCGCGTTCGCATTTTCTGCATGCGACATTTGCACGACAGTTGTTTGTCGTGCGTTTTGATGGTTGGACCCGACTTCGACTTTCAAGCTGGGCCTGGGTTCCACATATGCTTACTTCAACTCCATTCACGTAGCTTGCCTAACTCACGGAGCTTGCCTACCATAGAATAGCCAGAGACGAGGGATTAGGCTGATGCGGCATAGAAATGAAATTATCATTAGATTGTTTGTGATACTTCGTCGCCGTTGCTGCGTAGTGGTATTTTCCTCGCGATCACAGAGAACCCCATTCCCGTCGCCATTCCTCTCACCCCTCTCATCGCCCACTATGCTATCCTCGAGTTTGCCAAATCACCCACCCGTCTCCCTTTCCGTCGCGCCTCACGTCGCCATCTCGTCGCCCGTCCCGTCGCCCTCTTCGTCGCCATCTCGTCGCCCGTCCCGTCGCCCTCTTCGTCGCCATCTCGTCGCCCGTCCCGTTGCCCTCTTCGTCGCCCTCTCTCCCCTCCTCTCCTCCCGTCGGCCTCTCTCTCGCCCCTCCCTACCGATCGCCCTCCCGTCGCTCGCCCCGTCGCGCTCTCTCTCTCCGCTCCCTTCCCGTCGCCCTCTCTCTCGCCCCTCCCTTCCCGTCACGCTCTCTCTCTCCGCGCCCTTCCCGTCGCCCTCTCTCTCGCCCCTCCCTTCCCATCGCTCTCTCTCTCTCTCTCTTTCTCTCTCTCTCTCTCTCTCTCTCTCTCTCTCTCTCTCTCTCTCTCTCTCTCTCTCTCTCTCTCTCTCTCTCTCTCTCTCTCTCTCTCTCCGCTCCGCCCTCTCTCTCGCTCCTCCTTCGAATCGCGCTCTCTCTCCGCTCCCTTCCCGTCGGCCTCTCTTTCCGCTCCCTTCCCGTCGCGCTCTCTCTCTCCGCTCCCTTCCCCTCGCCCTCTCTCTCGCCCCTCCCTTCCCATCGCGCTCTCTCTCTCCGCTCCCTTCCCATCGCCCTCTCTCTCGCCCCTCCCTTCCCGTCGCGATCTCTCTCTCCGCTCCCTTCCCGTCGCCCTCTCTCTCGCCCCTCCTACCCGTCGCGCTCTCTCTCTCCGCGCCCTTTCCGTCGCCCTCTCTCTCGCCCCTCCCTTCCCATCGCGTTCTCTCTCTCCGCTCCGCCCTCTCTCTCGCTCCTCCCTTCAAATCGCGCTCTCTCTCCGCTCCCTTCCCGTCGCGCTCTCTCTCTCCGCTCCCTTCCCATTGCCCTCTCTTTCTGCTCCCTTCCCATCCTCCCTTCTCGCTCGCCTCGAATAGCCCTCCTGGCGACCTTCGACTCTCCCATCACGTATGCCCTCCGTTCTCCGTCGCCTCTCTCGTTCTCCCTCTGCTATCGCGTCAGCGTGACCCATTCCGTACTCTGTTAGGGTGTTTGGTTTGTTTGTTTTTTTTTGTCTTTCCATCTATTCTCGACACCCTCTCTCCCGCTGCCTATCCTCTCTCTCGTCGCCCTCCCGTTTCCCGTCGCCCTCCCGTTTCCCGCCCCCCTCCCGTTTCCCGTCGCCCTCCCTTTTCCCGTCGCCCTCCCGTTTCTCGTCGCCCTCGCGTTTCCCGTCGCCCTCCGGCTTCCCGTCGACCTCCGGTTTCCCGTCGCCCTCCCGTTTTCCGTCGCCTCCCGTTTCCCGTCGCCCTCCCGTTTTCCGTCGCCCTCCCGTTTCCCGTCGCCCTCCCGTTTTCCGTCGCCCTCCCGTTTCCCGTCGCCCTCGCGTTTCCCGTCGCCCTCGCGTTTCCCGTCGCCCTCCCGTTTCCCGTCGCCCTCCCGTTTCCCGTCGCCCCCCTTCTTCCGCCGCCCTCCCGTTTCCTACGCCCTCCCTTCCCGTCGCCCTCCCGTTTCCCGTCGCCCTCCCTCTTGAGAAGATTAGAACGAGAATGAGGTGAACTATGAATGAAGCGAGTACAAATATGAAACCCTAGTTGGGTTGTACCCCCTATGGGATACCCCACTATAGCCTACACAATAGCATAAGCTATATGTTCTGACACACCCCCATAGGCAAAGTGGGGGAGAACAAGGGGTCACAAGTCCAGTCAAGCAAAGCAAAGCAAAGCTCAGGGTGGATCACAAAGTCACCACACATTCCGAGCACAAGTTCAAAAGCCAAAAGGCCAATTCTCATGCAAGAGCACATATATATATATATATATATACGAGGCTAAGCAAGCAAGAGCAGGAGTATATATATGTGACAGTACAAGCAAGGTCAAGAAGTGAGCAAGTGAGGCAAGACAGGCACAAGACCCAGCTAAGTGCAGAAGCACTGATGATCACAAGGCGCAAGTGCCTTGGTGAAAACATCAGCAGTGTTGGCCTCAGAGGCCACGTACGCAAGCCGCAACTTTCCACGCTGCTGTAGCTCACGAGCAAGAAAGTAACGGAGAGCAATGTGCTTTGTCCTGTGCTCCAGTCGCTGCTCTCAACACAAGGCTAGCATGGCCTTGTTGTCTACGTACAGGACTGGAGGAGAACGAGGCGGCTCTCCAAGGTCGGTCAGCAGGTAGGTGAGCCAGCGAAGCTCCTGGGCAGCCATAGCCCCGGCGTAGATCTCAGCCTCACAACTGGAGCCGAGAACAGAAGACAAGCGGGTAGCCCGCCACGAAAGAGAGCCGGAACCAAGACTGAAGGTGTAACCCTGTGACGACCGCTGCGTAGCCTGGTCGTCAGCCCAAGAAGCGTCCGCGTGCCCAGTGAGGACCACTGGACTCCGCCCTCCAAGCACTAGCCCCATGCCCGACGTACTGCACAAGTAGCGCAACACCCTCTTCGCTGCAGCCATGTGCTCTGGTTGGTGTCTCCCAAGAGCAACATAGCGTGCAAGAATGCTAAGAGGGTATGCAAGGTCAGGTCGTGTGCAGGTCATCAGGTACATGAGGCAGCCAACAAGCTCTGGATACGGGCCACTCGACTCTACGGACTCATCCGAAGGCAGAGCTGAGAGTGAGTGGCGAGTAGGCAGAGGAGTGGCCTGAGGCGAGGAGTACGTGAAGCCGAAGCGCTGAAGGACCTGCTGCACCATGTGTGACTGAGTCAGGGTAATGGTGCGGCGTGCTCTGTCCCGGGTGATCTGCAAGCCAAGGTAGCTGCGCAGTTCACCCAGGTCTGTGCACGTGTGTCGCTTCTGCAGCTCGGACTTCACGTAGGCGAGTCCTGCAGTGTCAGCTGTGGCAAAGACCAAGTCGTCGACGTACACGAGGATGTAGAACGGCGGCAGAGAGGTGTCGGTGCGCAGAAACAGCGACGGGTCGGCAGTAGAAGGAGCAAACCCAAGAGCCGCAAGCGTAGTCCTCAATGTGTCGTGCCACTCACGTGGCGCCTGGCGGAGACCGTAGACTGGACGCCGGAGACTCCACTGGGTACCAGGAGGGAAAGACCCAGTGAAGCCAGGTGGGCGGCGCAGCCAGATCTCCTCGTGCAGGCTGCCCTGCAAGAAAGCTGTGGTGAAGTCGAGAGAGTGGAGCTCGTAGTCACGGTGAGCAGCAATGTGCAGCAGTACCCGAAGAGTGGTCATCTTCGGGGTGGGGGAGAAGGTCTGAAAGTAGTCAACTCCCTGCCGGTGACTGAAGCCACGAGCCACGTAACGAGCCTTGAAGACAGGCGGAGAACCCGGCGGCCGCTTCACCCTGAAGATCCACATGCCACTGACGATGTTCGCCCCAGGAGGGGGGACAGCGTCAATGTAGGTGCCTGTGGACTTCCAGGAAGCCATCTCTGCATCCATAGCTGCCTGCCACTGAGAGGAGTAGGGACCCTCTGTCGCCTCTGCGTAAGAGCGCGGAGTCGAGATGTCAAGTGCATCCGGGTCTCCCTCAGGGGTAAGCAGTACGGACACGAGATGAGGTGAAGCAGCTGCCAGACACTGGAACTCCTCCTGCCTGTCCTCAAGGACGTCCGTGCCAAGGGCACACTCACCCCCGACGGACGGAGGACAGACAGACTCAGACTCAGCGACAAGACTAGCAGCGTAGTCTAAGCGACAGCGAGCAGCAAAGTCGACGAGCTCAGTAACGAGAGCAGACGAAGCAGTAGACTCGAAAGAAGGGTCAGTGACAACAGTAGCAAGGAGACGCGTGACAGTAGGACTGGCAGCACGAAGAGAGTCCGACTCAGGGTCGGCAAGTGCAGGAAGAGAGGACTCAGGAGGGGAAGGCAAAGGGGCACGCAGAGGAGCAGTAGACGGACGAACAGACGTCCGGTGCGTGCCAGGGACAGGAGGAGGACGCTGGCGCGAACCGCGACCACTAGCGCGAGCAGCTCTAGCAGGCGAAGCAGGACGAGACGCAGGCTCACGACGCTCAGTAAGACCTCCAGTAGGACCAGCGTAGGGAGAAGGAGCAGGCAGAGGGGAGGCAGGCTGTAGCTGTGACTATGACGGGACAGGCTGTGGACACTCTAAGGGAGGAGGAGGACCAGTAGAAGGAGGAAGACCAAGAACCTGCTGCAGGAGTGGAACAAAGTACGGTCGAGGCCGCGTGACGATGCCAGAAGCACCAGGGACAGCACCAGTACCCTCAGTAGGAGCACGCGCTCCAGCAGCACCTCCAGCAGCACCAGGAGCACCCCCAGTAGGACCGCCAGCGGTAGTCTCAGCGCCAACTCCTTCAGCAGCACCAGCTCCAGTCGAACCCGTAGGCCCAGCAGCTCCAGTACTCCCAGTACGAGCACCTCCGGGACCCGCGACCGCAGTACCCTCAGCAGCCGAAGAACCTCCAGCACCAGCAGTACGGCGCCAGCGTCGGGCAAACCACTCGCGCAGCTCCTGCGGAGAGAGTGGCTCCCGGCGAGAAGAAGCACCCGGAGAACCTCCAGGCGGAGCACCTCCACTCTCAGCACCCCCAGGCGTAGCACCTCCAGGCTCAGCACCCCCAGGCGTAGCACCTCCAGGCTCAGCACCCCTAGGCGTAGCACCCCCAAGCTCAGCACCCCCAGGCTCAGCACCCCCAGGCTCAGTACCCCCAGGCTCAGCACCCCCAGACGCAGTACCCCCAGGCTCAGCACCCCCAGACTCCGCACCCCCAGGTCCAGCACCCCCAGGCTCAGCACCCCCAGTAGCAACAGAGTCACCAGTGACCTCGACAGGCTCGACTGCGTTTTCGTGGGACACACCTGAAGGGGCAGGACCCTGAGGGGGGAGGGGGTCTACCTGGGGGGGACCTGGTACAAGGAAGAGCGGGGGCGGGGGGAGGGACGGAGTGCGGTAGGGGAAGAGGCGGTAGTAGGGGACCGACTCGTCAAACGTGACGTCCTGGGAGGACAGAACACGTCGAGAGGTGGGGTGGTAGAACTGCCACCCGGGGGCGTCAGGGGGGAACCCCAGGAAGACGCAAGGAGCAGCACGAGGGGACAGCTTGTCCGCAGACAAGTCGCGGACAAACGCCCGAGATCCCCAGACCCGGAACGCCGACGCATCGCCAACCTTCCTTGTCCACAGTAAGGCTGGGGAGGTCTCCGGTCTGGAGACCCTGGGGTGGAGGTTGATCTGATGCGCCACGTACCTGACCGCAAACGGCCACAGAAAATGGGGGGCAGCCGCATGCATCATAGACGTACGAGCGACGTCCATGACCATGCCAATGCGGCGCTCAGCAATCCCATTTTGCTGCGATGAGTCTGGAAGCGTGAAGGTCTGACGAATGCCTCGTGCGCGACAGTAGGCTCGCAGTAGGCCAGAGGAAAACTCTTCGCCTCTGTCCGAGTGCAGACGCAGAACAGGGAAGTCCGAGCGAAAGCTCCGCCTGAGCTGGAGACGAGCCGCGCAGATCCAGTCGATCAGCACCTCAGTGACATCACCCTTGCTGCTTAAGGGGAAGACCGTGGTGTAACGCGAGTAGTCGTCAACAACGAGCAGGAAGTAGCGCTCGTGACCCTGTCCATGGACGCGGGCCGGGCCCCACACGTCCATATGAAGCGTCTGCAACGGGGCCTCTGTCGGAGGAAACTGGGAGGAGTGAGGGGCAGCCCGCTGGCGCCCCTCGACACAGGGGACACAGACAGGGCCAGGGCCCTGAGGAAGGGGAGGGAGGGACCGGGGGAGACCAGACATAAGAAGACGGGAGGCCATGCCTCTGAGCCGAAGCAGAGAGGGGTGACCAAGACGGTGGTGCCAGAGGAGAGTCTGACACTATAGCCCACACAATAGTATAAGCTATATGTTCTGACACCTCTTTCTCTTCATTCGCGTCACCTTGCCCATCATAATTTCCCCCCTAGTGCTGTTTTTCTCTTCTGTTTCCTGTTATTGCACCTCTCCCAGGCCTCAAGTCCAAGGCACCACATTGATCAGAGCTCTACTAGCTCTAATAACGTTCAAGCACTTTCACTCTCATCACGTACATGCGTGTCTACTTGGGATTTAGCGTGAGATGTTGCTAGTTGTGAATTTGGTGAAGTATTGGCTCTAGCGCATGCAAGAGTGCTCGTCGCTCAACTTTGCGCCAAATTCGCACATGTACATGTGAGAGAACCTGGCTGCCAATCAGAATTGACAATGAACTATCGTTCCTGGTCCAATAAGAAACTCGTCCGAGGGTCGGAAAAAAAAGCACACATACAGCAATTCCAACATTCCAAAACAAAACAAAAATACTTCATCTTCAAGTGGACCCAACTAGAAGGGGGGGGTCACTATTTTGCCTGCTGACTTTAAAACCAGGGTCTCACGTAGATCAATTGTTTTGCAGTTGATGACTTGACCTTGGTTAGGATTGGATGGCGAGGTGTAAAGAATGACGAGGGGTGTGGCGAGGGGTGCGAAGGAAACACAAATCGCAGTTTGTGTCCGAACCAACCAGGCACAGAAACTGGTTCGGTGCGAAAGCTAGAACACCATTAATTTGTGCGAGCATCCCGAAAGTCTCA